TTTGCCAATTCCTTTGCCTCCCGTTCCAGCGCCTTTTTGTACTACGTAACAGCTTCGTTCGATAACTTCTCCAGTCCTGCGCTAAGTAGGTTGCATTTTCCACGGACGGGTAGTCTGCTGTAATTGTCTTTCTGGATCTTGCACGCCGTTGGTACTACCATAGTTTGCACTCTTACAATTGGAATGCTCATCACTAAGTCGTACCAAGCATTGTACGTGAAGCCTTCATATGGAGCATCACATACAATTTCAAATGACGCTGACCCAGTGTTGTGGTGCTCAGGCGCCATGCAAATGTCGGATTCTTCAGAGCTCTCGTACTCCAGTGAAATGATTTTCGAGGCGGATGGCTTTGCTTGTTTAGGTTACCACGTTCGGGTGGACTTGTCGTCTTTGGCCGACCGCTGACCTTAACTTTCCTGTTCAGCTTAAATGGTGCCGAAATCGAAGTGTTGGTGGGCTCGTTGACCTTTAGGCGTTATAATTGTATCCGTGGGTGCGGTCGCGGGTTCTTTTACACATACGGCCACATACTTTTGCTCAATTTCGTCAGGTTTGCTTAGCTGAGTTTCTGGGATGCTTTCATCTTCATCGCTCTCAAGCTTTTCAGTACCAGTATCGCTGCAAATGCTGTCCTTTCGCTGTGTCCACGGTGCTTCGCTAATGATTGGTACACCTGATGCCTCGATGATGCCTAGAAATGCTTCAAGAGCTGCGTACAACTGACTAAAACGTTGCGTGCCATTAGCAACAGCAACTTTTGTCACCTTGTCTTGCAGTGCCTTGAACTTCCTCCATTTCTGGCGTTCATCCAGCACGTACGGTTTAGATTTCATCTTTTTCACTTGAACGTTTTGCACGCAATGTAAAAAGCACCGTCGAACAAACAGACAGCGGGTCCAGCTCAAAACCGTGCAACTACCCGGCGCAATCTTTCACTGATTTGAAAAGTGCTTCGTACGGCAGCTGGCATTCGGTGTGGGCAAACTCGAAAACACAAAACAAAGTATAGTCAGCGGAATTGTCGTCGCAGCACACGAATCACCGGTATCAATATTAATTAAAGTCCAACCGCCGTTCCGGTAAGCAGAAAAGCATCCCGGAAGTGAGTTGACAGCTATAAAGCACAAGGATAAAGGATAAAAGAAAAGTGTTACTCAAGGTCAGCGGGTTTCGCAGACAAACTGCGAAGTGCACATTTGGGAAAGTGCTGATGCCAACTGATTTTATCACAGTAACATGATCAATGGAGAAGCAGGGTATCGATCCCTGTACCTCTCGCATGCTAAGCGAGCGCTCTACCATTTGAGCTACATCCCCAGGACAACAAAATACACAC